AACGTTTTCTTCATAGACTAGTTTTTCTCAATCTGTTTTGCTCTTGTGGAAAGCTTAAAGTAACGTAATTGCTTTAGTAAATCCTTACACAAAAGCGATTGTTGTACATAATTTTGTGCCATCCATTCTTATTTGTATATTTCTAGAAAATTTTCAACAAAATAATAGTATGGCAAGGCCTATGGCGTAATGCCATTTGTCACTCATTACTTCTTTCCTTGAAACCTCCACTGAACAATACTGACTTCTCGAGTATTGTTGGAAACTGAGCATTTTAAATCTAATACTTTCATAGTTCTGCTCATACGTGTTTCTCGGGAATTCATTTTAATTTTGTGTCCTGCCAAAACAGTGTCTTTGAACACTGAGCAGTGCGCTTCGCCAATTTGGCGGCGCTATTTCTCCTCGGGTGCCCCAGGATAAGGACAGTAGGTCGAGCCGAGGACCCGTGCTGATTGTAAGGGTCATTTTTTTCTCACCCTTGAGGAGGCTTCTAAGCTGCTATTGGATTCAACTGGGACCACTGCATGGTATTTTCCACTTCAAGAAAGAGACAGAGGAGGAAGAGAAGTTTTCCACTGCCTCATCCAAGTAGCATCCCAAATTCAGGTAGACTACAGATATTTCGTGGAATTTTTCTGTGCTCTTCTTACGCAAAACAGATCATTCTAACGTTTCCGTGGCGTATTAAAGGTTTGCTACAAAAGCAAGTTAGAAAGCTTTTTTCCCTTAAAAATGTTCATTGATTATTACTGACTACATAACAGGCTTTATTAATCCAAACAAAAAATCTTAAATAAACACTGAAGTTGTTTAATTATATCAAACTATTTTTTGTTTCCTATTTAATAATAATAATTATTATAATAATAATAATTCCTATTTATTTATTATTTATTATAAATGAGAAATTGTGACTGTTATTTAATTAAATTGTTATTGCATTTTTAATTTGTTGTCTTTTAAATATTCATCGTAAATAAGTGTGAGAAAACCAAACTTTACTCATTTGTATAGGTTATAGACAAAGTGGCTTAGTCTTTACACAGATATCAGATAATCTCTACATTAGAGAGATCAAGATATGCCCAGTCTAATTTTCTTCTTCTTCAAATCTTCCCCTGGAATTTGTGCACGTAAACCAAAAACCTTGAACGTACGGTCACCACAGTCAGAGAAACGCCACTATGTATTTTTAATTATTCAGGTTTTAATGAGATGGTCAAAATGTTTCTTGTTTTTAGTTAACCATTAAGTTGAATTATTGTTCACCTATCAGGTCTCGCCAATACGTAGAATGTATAGTATGTTGTTGACACAATAATGGAAGAAGCCGACAACATATTTATTTGCCACTTGCTTCATTCACCCTAATTGATACAATAAAACTTAAAAATACAGATCTCACTTTAATCTCAGCAAGTAATATATTTTGTTGTTTTATTTCATTACAAATTACCCGCAATTCCATTAAGCAGCTGTAATGGAGGGCCCATTAAATTTCAAAATCTCTAAATGCACGATATCGATTATTCGTACGTTTCGTAATGTTCATTACGCTGCCGAAAGTGCTGGAATACTTTGACCCTCTTGAGAGCATCATTGTGGAGGGGGGAGGGCAGCCACCTCCCCTCTCCGCGGAATTCTCCGCTGGATCAGTCCTCGCGAGGGTGAGTGGAAGAAAGCGTGGGGGAGGGGGGCGTTCTTGGTAGTTTTCCGTCCTGCTCTGGCGCCCAAAATCCAGTTTTTTGGACCAGATGAAAAAAGACGACCTCGCAAGGAAATTTCCCAAATCTCCCGGGAGAGATCTTGAAATGGAAGTGTACTGTTATTCAAGATAACAACTGGATATTTATGAAAGAAACGTGCTTTTAATAGAATTCATAAAAGGGTGGTTTCTTATTTTGTGATAAATTTTAATTTCTTCACCTTCCGGGACAAGACAGAGTGTTTTAATTATCTTCATCAAAAGGTAATTTCGAATTCATTCATTTGGTAAGCGAAATACTGAGAGCGGGATAATTTCAATATTTTTAGAGTATAGAATAGCAAAATAAATAATAATTTAATTACGTCAATAAATGGAACAAATTGCAAGTGACGTTCGTGAATTGTGAAGTTAATTTTACTGTGTAAAAGCTCATACTGAATCCAGAAACAATTTCATATTTTGATACAATGTGGATTGCTTTGTACAAATAGAAAAGGTTGAAGTATCGTACATTGCAATTAAGGAACAGGTGGTGGAAAGGGAGGTCACAAGAATTTTCGCACAAACTAGGTTATAGTGACATGGAACTACGTTCTGAGTTCGCTTCTTAATATTGGATAAACCAAACTTGCTCTGCTTCTTTGTTTACTACTTTCTCATTGCCGTTTACGCTGTAGAGAGAAAAATATGTAATGCTGCGCCAAAAAATGGCGAATGTTCGACAGAAAATCCCTTATTAAAGGTCCCTAGTAATAAAAAAGTGGATAAATCCAGTTGCTAAATTTAGAAAAAGAAATCCTCTAATACGTAGTCGTAATCCATGTTGTGTGCGTCCTTGATGCCGAAAAATCGAATGACTGCAAAACGTCTGTCTGTGCGTCCGTCTGCCCGTCTGTGAACACCGCTAGCGACTAAATCGTTCAGCAGATTCTTCAATCGATCTGGCTGATGTCGCGCTCCCTTCAATTTGAAGCCGATATTTTAATTTTGGGGGGTACTGAACATAAAGCCCCCGGGATATATCCAAATTTTAAAAAATGCCTCTATCGTTTTTATTAAATTTTATTGTTGGATTCGGTGAAGAATGTTTAACAGAATGGTGCAGGTCTAATTCTCGTTAGAAAGTTATTTTTAGCAAATAGCTAAAACAATTTTTTTTTCGGCATCTTCCTACTATTACAATTTTGATGATAAGAGTTTTATATGTTCCTTAATGATAGATTTTAAAATAAAGTCGTGTACAACTTTTTCGAAATTTGAGTAATTTTGTGTGATTGCGTGAATACAGGCGAGAAAGTATGTGCTGTTTTAGCACCACTAGTTTTTCGTTATTTATTAACAGGTTTAGGTCCCATTTACATTAACATTTAGCCGTGGAAAACGTGTGACACAGCCGAACTCGAAACTACATATTGTAACATGTCGAAATTATATGTTATATTTCGCCTGTATTTGACACCAAGGCAATTTGTACAGGCACGGCCTACTGGAATAAAAGTACAGGTTAGCAATGTTTAGATTTCATGGAGTTTTGAGATGATGAACGGAATCAACAACAAGAGAGTGATTGTACGTCCTGGAGTGAAGACGAAAATGATTAATATAGCACTTCAGTCAGAGTGCCTCAGGGGAGAGTTTGGATGTAACAAATGAAATGTATTGGCGGTATATTTGATTCAGGACACTATTACGAAAAAGTAACTAGATTAGAATATTTGGGAGAGTCGATATAGTGAAGTGTTTATATGGTATTGGACCTAATGGAATGGACTTTTTTTATTTGAAAGAGGAAGAAGATAAACTTAGGTAGCGTTATTGAAAATTGTTAAATTAACTAAATGTTGTATTATTAGTTTCTGTTTACAAACAATGTTCCGCAAAGTAGTTTTTTTCCTATTATTCTGAACAAATTGTCTCTTTCCTTTTGAATTTGCGCTTTTGATTTAATATTTCAGCAAGTTACTCATTAAACTGTATGGTGTATACCGTAGGATCTTCGGCCCTAACAATATTGAATGGATATTTTTATTTTCCCTCCATTAAGTATATTTATTAATGGAAAAGAAAAATACATCTCAATAATTTTTCTCCAACGAATCCTCATCTTTTTCTAGCCTTAGAAAAGTTTCACCAGCAGTCTGATCCCTTTTTATTACCTGATATTCCTCGTCATTGTAATATACTACTTCTACCCTAGCCACATTACTTTCGCTAATGTCCACTTCATCCGGATTAGCTCCAAATATACTTCAAAGCCGCTCCTTTCGGACTTTATCAACACACTTTAGAAAATGTGAACATTCACCAGCTAATTCGGAAAGTTGTTTGGGCAACTACATTTTTGACTTATCTGTCATTTTAGAAAAAAGATCGCCTCTTAGTCTGGCCACTCGCGAGAAGTCCAAAAGCACCGTATATCGGGTCTGTTAGGACTTAATTATTTCCAAGGAAAGACAACATTAAAAAAAGATTGTAATGGGCTAATGCTAATCAAAATAAAAATTGCAGCTGCTATAAAAATTCTCAGACGCTGCAAAGTGCGAACGTTTTGCACAAGTGTTGTATATTCAGGATGACGTCAGAAACAAATTGATTTTGGCTGATTTAACTTCCGATGCCCGGCAGCAATATTTATTTTTTCTGGAAAGATCCGTCATAATATGCGTTCTCCATAAAAGGGCATTTCAAATTGGTGACCTACATCGACATTAGTTTCAAAAAGACTAGAAAGAGTTTGTATTTAATCAGACTCATGATTTATTGCATATTAACCCCAGTTTGATTTTAATGTTTTTTAACCTTTCATGAACCTTATAATCATCTTTGGAATATGGGGATTTCACTTCGTATCTATTTAGGAGAGGCAACAAATATGTCTTGCAATTTCTTTTCTCCTTTGCAATCTACTACTTTCTACTACAAAAAATTAATTGATAATTGCTTGCGACAATATGGAGTTTTGTTAGAGAGATATGCAAGTGGCACGTGGGAACATTTAGGATTGTTATCTACCTGAGCCTTTCTGAAGGCCGAGATAAACGAAAAGAAATACGGCGTTTCACACATATTCGAGCCATAATTTTTGTTTTGAGAACTTTACATGCTGTATATCACAGTTCGTATGAGCACTACAAATCATCGTTAACCTCTCCGATGCAGTGTATATTATTCTTTGCTTCTTTCATTTTCCTTTTTATAAAAATATGTTGCAAATGTAGGTTGATTTTTTTATTTTTGATTATAAATATAATTTTCAACTATTTTCAATATTTAATTTTTATTGTTTCAGGTATGTAAAACTTTGGAAGTAATTCGAGTGGGAGTGCTTCTCTCAGCATTTAGAACGCAGTTGGTTAGAGAAAGACGAAGCTCCTAGAGAAGAAACCATGAAATCACTTCAGCGAGCTTCTGAGGTACAAGAACAGATACATAATTAGAGCCTATTAGTGAAAAGGTATTAGAGGTAATGCACTGCTACTACCAAAGTTCATGAATCCGAAGGTCTTAAATTATATTAAGGAAATACAATTTTTTACTGTTGAATTTATTTTATGACATTGTACTCCTTTGTAAAGTAGTTTTTTCTATCAAAATAAACTTGCTACAGTGATTTTGGGCACCATTCTTTAAAGAAAGGAATAGGTACTATATTTTTTCAATCGAAATATAACTCCAAACTTGATTTATCTTTTTATCTTCATGTATCGGAAAACTGAATATTGTAGACAAAAACTAAAGTAGATTGTAATTGAACAACCGTTCATTTCAAACATACGTACTCCGGAGTAAATTAATTTATTTTACAAATTACTTGTATTATTTGGAAAACTATTAACTGTTGTAAAGTACTTACCTACATTATTGATTATTATTTTTTCTTTAATTTGGTGTTCCGGAAGCCACGAAATGCAAATTCTCGAACGTTGTTTTGGCTGGAGTGCAAACACTACGTAGAAGGGTGCCTTGTATTTATATCGAGCTCTGGTCTCCTATCTGTCAAGTTGCGTCGAAGTGGTCGTCTGGGAGCGAATGGTGGGAACGAGGCGGCGGCGGCGGTGGCGGAGGTGGCAGGGTCGTTGAACTGCAACTGCGTCGCAGAGAGCGCTCGTTGCATCGGCGGCGGTACGCGTCACGTGGCGCGACGTAAAACGCGTCAGTTCTTCACAAGAGCGCCCAGAGGAGACCAAAGAGGCCTACTTCGGGTAGTTTTGTGGATGCGCGGAAAGTGCAATGCACGTTCAAACCAGCAGTGAACCCTTACGGCCTAGCCTTATGTTACGATTCTGTAACATAAAATAAAAATAGAAGGTTAGTTCGATATTCGCCAACTGGCAAAAATACGAAGTTCATGTTTCAAGTCTCATTGCGCTACTTCAGTTTTCTTACTGCAGCAAGTGTTTAAGTCGCTAATACTTCGCCCGTTGGTGGAGTTCGTATGAAGAGATCTCAGAAATGACAATGTTATGTGATAAGAGGTCTGCGGGAATACATCCCATCCCCAAGCAAATAAAAATCGCTGCTTCCCCCAATATGTAAAGAGAATTCATTTCACCTTGCAACATAAATATATTATGGTGGTTAATTTGAATTATATGTATATATATTTGTTTTGAACGCATAGAAGTTTTTTGGGCTCCCAATTAAATCAGGGCATGGGGGAACGTGCCGTAGCTACTCCCCTCCCACTTCTAGGCACCCCGGTTTTTCTACATTTTGCCTATCAGGTGTAACATTAAAAAGTTCACACTTTATTTAGTGAAAGAGTGCAGATGCGAATAAACCGGGTGGTATAATAAAATAAATCAAACGATAGGTTGCCCCGAAGAAAACAAGCTCTTCAAACGCCTTTCTTCCTAAACGAAGTAAAGGTGGGTGCCGCACGTCACAGTGTGAGGTATCTCCTGTAAAATAAGAGAGCAAACTTTTAAAATATTTCATCTTCATATAATAAGATTTTGGGTGTAAAACATGGTAAGCCACACTTGATTTCTGTGGAGATATAACATAGTGAGTATTTTTGTGCCAGAGATGCAAATGAATTGCATAAAACTGATGGCAGTTACGGTGTCACACTACATGGACCGAATATCGTAGAGAACAAAAATTGTAGTAACACAAAAACTACAATTTGGAGGGTTATCTCTCACTTTCTACCCTCGAACACTCTGAAGTACACTACATGCCTCGGTTTTGTACTAGATATGAAATAATTATGAGTTGTCATTGCCAACAATATTATTTATTACAATAACAGCTTTCGATTGCTTAGCCATCATCATCATCAGTTTTCTCCTGTATGGAAGCCACAAAAACGACTAGTTTTCGTTTCGTAGTCGTTTTTGTGGCTTCCATACAGCAGAAAACTGATGATGCTGGTTAAGGCATCGAAAGGTGCTATTATAATAATATTGTTGGCAATGACGACTCATATAATTATTTCATTGTAAATGTCAACGAAAACTCACCACATTACCAATATCTGTACTAGGTAGATGGCACCGCTGCGATAGACCTCCCAATATCCGCATATCACGCGGTGTATATGATGGAAAGTAACCCTTTCCGAAGCTAAAATGGAGATCATTATATTTCCGACAGCATGAAAATAAAAACAAATAAATCGGTGCGGCACAGGATGTAACGTAAAAACATACGTTTTTGTTCTAGTTGTTACTCTCGGCTTAGTTCCGGAATGCAAGTCCAAACGATTTTCTCCTCGTTTCAACAAGACTTTTCGGGTGTATACTTGTTCTTCCTTTCAGGCATAATAACAGCAATTCTTTCCAGTTGAAAATGCAGTTTCAGTAGAAAATTGCCAAATTTTGTCATCACAAACACAAATGTGGGAATGGCCCAACATTGTCTGCCTCGAGGCAGACGAATTTGTGACTTATTTACGGAATACATTGAATGTTCATTTTCTCTCATGAAGTTTTTCCAAAGTCTGTGTACTATATAATACAAGTAAATTTGATAATACTCTTTTGATTTGTTCTGGCAAAGAATTGTTAAGGAAACTTATAGATGTTTTGAGTTATAGAAATGTGTATTATTCTCTAATTGATAACACAATAATGAATTATTAATTTTTTAATTCATATTTTACTCAATTTAATTGTATCCACATTTCTTGCTCTCACTCAGTTTTTGCTCTCAACAGACATATTTCTTGCTCTCAGTTTCAAAACCCAGCAATGCCGTGGAACCCTTAACTCCGATACATTTTATCATTACTTGACATAGCGTAATGCTCTGTTATCTTCCATGAGACTTCTCCACGGCTGCCCAGACCGAGGTCCAAACCGACAATGTTGCGCCACTTAACCACCCGACACGTCCCGCATTCGTTTGCTCATTGTCTCAGATGCTTTGCTGTTTGTGCTTCCGCGACGATTGAAAGCAATACTCTTGGCGCTTTCTCTTGATGCTAACTCTCGAGAAAGTGTGATGTTATAGCACTCGAACGTTGTGTACATGAGTTGTTTTCGGCGTGATTTCATTGAAGTGCGTAATCCGTGGTTATTCACCCGAGTTTGGAGAGGTTGGCAAACTCAGTGTTACAAACGTGTCGACTGTATGTTTATGGCACTATATTAATTAATTCTGTAAATTTCAAGATGTACTCGTGAACAAAGATGCAAATATATCTATGAAATACTGACACATTTCATATTGTTGAGGACTTGAAACAATTTAAAATGGGTGAATTGCATAGTTTATGTATTCATAACAGCTACATTAACAGGCTTTACTGACCATCAGAAAGAAAAATAATGTTTATTTTAACAAAACTGATATATAACCAATTAGTTTATATTTGTATTGTATATTTAAAAAATATTTAATATGCTAGCAACAAATAATGTACTTCAGCTTCGGGGTCAATGACCCCCATCTCCATCATGTTTTGTCTAGTTTCCCTGATACATTGAGCAAATGCTGAGATGGCCCCTTGTTTTGCTTCTGAACGTAAATGTAACTTCACTATGCGCACGTTTTGTTGAACCCTGCTTTTGCTTGTAGTGATAGGAGTAAAGGTAAGAGCGAGTTACTATTTTGTTAGCTGTGCAGAAAATAAAATCTGAAGTTTGTTTACCATTGCAAATATGTTTTCTATAACCTGGAAACGAAAATGCCTAGTTTTTGAAATATCGCTAATATGACGCTTTTTTAAAATTTCATTTTTATTTATTTATCTTAAACTTTCACTCATCTTTCAACTATTTATAATTAAAATGATGTGAACTCAAGAAAACGTGCGCAGATGATCTTCTCTCCCATACCTCACGTAAAGTTTTTCCTGTTTTTTCTTTTTTTTTACTAAATAAATCTAAAAATCTTAATCTGGGGTAAATAGGAACTTCTACACTTATTTTTAAACTACGTAGACTCTTTGATTCTTAAACATCGTTCATCTGTAAGAAATCTGTTGCCAATTGGCAATATGGTGAAAGAATACAATTACAATTGACAGGATGATTGAAATGATTGTAAGATATTGATATTTTAGGAAATAAAACAATAACAACAATAATGATTGTGATAGTCGAAGTGCCAAAAGTCAGCAGCACGACGCGAGAGCATTTCGCCAATTGCTAAAGTTAAAAATATTTCATACGTCTTCTTACAACTAGAATGTTCACTGCAGTTACTTTTTTCTTAAGTACAACTGATCCTGTAAATTAGACCTTAAAAAATGCAATATATTTTTTTTATGTATCGTAGTTTCGCATAATGTTCAGTAAAATAGTCACAACTTTTAAAAATTATATTCAACAAATTTATTCGAATCTCGAAACGTTACCATATTATATTACTCAAACTCTTATGATTTTTAATAAAAATCAGGATTTTCGAAAGGTACAAACGTTTAACTTTTTTTTAAACCGTCGGGAACGTTGTGCTGCCGGCGCAAACAATTGTTACAGTTGTTTTTACTACTGCTCGCTAAACGTCATTACAAGAGTTTGAATCGCAGCTTGGTCAAATATTTTTGCGGGTTTGAAGAGTACGTCATTTACATAACCGTTACGAACAATGCGAAGAAATAAGTGTCGTGATAGCCCCAATGGGTTTTAATTGTTAGCTTGAAATAAAAAAAAGTAGTATTAGTGTATTCATAATAGGGATACTGTTGCAAATGTGGTTAGAAATACATGACAATAATTTTTTAATACATTGAGTAAAAATAGAAAAAAAATGGATTTAGTGCATGGTCTCCTTTTGAATTTATTATTATTATTATTATAAAGACCGAATACCTTTGGACGATATAACACGAAAATATTTGATCTCTTTTCAACAGTAGCTCGATATAATTCAGTATTCGTTATATTGACATGCGTCTTTTGAGGCAGAGAAAGAATGGCTTCCTAAAAATAACTGAGATATTGATGAAGTTATTTTACCTCCTGTTTAAAACTGCGTGATCGCACGCGAACAAGTCGTTTTCTTATGTTGCACAGAGATTGCGTTTTCTAAAGGATCCGAACTGTGATTTGCCATTCACTCAAACAATGTACAAGGAAAACAGAAAAGAACAACACAATGTATCAGACATCGTTCTTCGTGACTCACAATTCGGTAATCATGTGAACTCGCCATTTATCTACCTCGTGACCGTTATCGATAATATTACTTCATTATAGTTAAATGATCAGTTGCGACTGGACTTTCCCGTTAATCATTGCTGATCGCACGCATACATGTATACCAAAACATGATGAGTAATTTCCCAAAGTTATTATTTATTGTTGAGATACAACATTGTGAGTCATTACCTATTTACATTTTTAAATAACAGTAATTTTTGAATCGTAGCAAATGACTACTGAGTGTATTTGAGTAACATTTTTCTCTGCAAACATCATTCTCAATTTACCCTACAATACAATACTTGAGGTTTTAACATTTTGTTAACTATACATCACTTTGAATTCCTTGATTATTCCTTCAGTCTTAGAGATGTGTGTTTTTATAAGAAATAACTCACAGAATCTGGTATAACGTCTTAGTTCTCGAAAAAGGATTTTATACATGAAGTTTCTTCTTAAGTTATTTCTTGTAAATAATATAAGACGTTGGCATTACGTAGTGTCTGATGTACCGTATTGAACCCATGTACGTCAACGTCTATTAGTACTAAAATTCTAAGAGCTATCCACAACTTCTACAAAACGGAATAATTTTTACTAACTACCATAGGTGCGCATGTAGCAATTCAAGCAATAATAATTACAGCAAATTATTAGTAAAATCAATATTTGTAATAATAAACTTGTAGCTATGTGTCAAAACATATTACCGTAAATAATTAGCAAACACTATTAGCAATCATGTTAATTAAAATGGTATCCAACTTCTGAAAGTGAATTAAAGAGTTACCAATTAGTTGTTCATCTCTGAAGAAGTACGGAACATTCTAACACTCCTGTTTTCTCACTCTTTGTTAACATTTTCCCCAGCGGTTGACTTGAATCACAAACAAATATTTTCTTTGGGAATAATACGATCATTTTCAAATATTATCAGAATGAATGAATCTACATTAGTTTACATTCTGGCTACTCGTCTCCAGCAATTTTTTCGGAAATGTGCGTCCTATATGATAATATTGCATTTAAGAATATTTATTTTGGGATACCGTTCACTTTTGTATAACATGCAATTTTCACCTAATTATCAAATACTTTTGTAATGAAAAATAATTCAGGTATCTTTATTGGTGGGATGCATCCTTTAGAATCTTTCTGCCTGCCCCTTGAAGTCGAAAGAGAATTAAGAATATCGAAGCCAATTCAGGAAATTGGAAATTAATTAAAATGTACACTTATCGTAACCACGATGCAAAACTGTAGCACTCACATTATAATAAATAGTATACTAAGGGTGGCAAATAAGTCCCTAGATACAAGACTCTAGTAACGAAGGTATGTTAGTCACAACCACGGTGAAAGAGAAGTGTGTGAACTTCCAGTCTAAAACAATCTTCTTGAGGCTAGTTGCCACATTTCTCGCATTGAGCATTGCAATTGTCTTGTATTTCCTTTGGGTGCGATGCAGGGCAATATGAGCAGCTGATGTGTCGTACACGTGATGTACACGTGAACGGGAGGCACGTGAACTACATTACAATCGGATGGCAAAATAAATTCAGACGTTTAGAAAGATGGCTCAAATGACTTTTGTTATGATGTTTGAAATTGCAAGTAAGTCGTGTAAATGTTATCAAGTAACTTTTGCATTCCGAAGCGTGTAGTTGGGTAGAAGGTAGTAGAGAAAAAGTGAATAGAACTTTTAGCAGAGAAAAAGGGGAAATTATTTAGCAAAGTTTACATTTGGAACTTGCGAGCTGTGAACTGACAAATGTGGTAAGAACTTTAGATAAACAGTTGAATTTTTCCCCAAAGACGTTTGAAATTTGATTGATGTTTCCGGGCACGTAAACATCTATAGTTATTAGTTCCATTAGTATAGTGAATGTTTTACCGTGTAACTTGGCGGTGTTTCTCTCCCTCTGGATGTTGAGATCCGCCAGCGACACGTCGGATTGCGGGAGATTTCGTTCTCCAGGCGTCTCTCTCCCAAAGGGGTCACTTTCCCCGCCTAGCCGGATCGAGCTCTGACCTTCGAATTGGTCTCGCAACGGTGTGGTAGTGCAGTATGTGTGCATAACATGTGCTAAAGAGGCATGAGTTAAAGAGGAGAGATGGGGACAAGAATGAGGAAGGAAAGATCGCGCACGTTCCGTATCCCATTTGTTAGGGTACTGCTCCGGCTTTCATCTGGTATTGATCGGAGAAACCGCGGGAAACTACCGATCGGCCCCTAGAATTGTATTTCTGACTGCGGGGTAATTAGACACTGATATATAGCTGGTGTCGAAAACCCGCCTCTATCGGGAATCGAACCCTAGAACTTCGCGATCAGA